TAAATATACATAAGCAAAGGTTTTCCAAACCTTTTTTTACATATTTTTTTCAACTTGCAGTAAAAAACTTTGACACCGTCGTATATACGGACCAGCAAGAACCTTAATTATTTAACCAACTTTATGAAATTAATACAATATTTCCACGCTCTTCTTCTCGTCTCGAGGGATCACACATACATTCAATTATACAACGCACAGTAAAAAATGAAAGCAACTCCCAATATCTCTCTCTCGAAAAAAAAAAAAATCGTACACATGGATACCCCACCCTCGAAGCTCTCAGAGCAACGACTGGTAGGTAAACTCGTCGGGGTGTAGAGAAACATCTAGCTCCTAATTTCGTGAAATCGAAAACCCTTGTAAAACGCAAACGCCTCCGAGTGGAAGAAAAAAGAAAGAAACAGAACCCAAACGTCGCAGCGATTCTTCTCCACAGTGAAACTCATATGGAAAAAAGAAAGAGAGAGGGAGAGCCCGGCGGAGCCTTTTGACACACTTTACTCGGCTAACACTTTCATTAAGTCCGCAACCCGTTTTTCCGCCTTCTTTTTCCTTCGCTGCTGTTGCTGCAATGCCGCGTACAATGTCGCAAAAAGCGTCGGGAGCCCTCGAGACACCAGCGCGAAAAAAAATGAAACGGAGCTGCTGGAAACGTTACTTTTAAATAAACAAAATAAACGAAACGCTGGTGACATGTTACCAAGTATACATTCATGTCATGTTGCGCATTGAGACCAAAGTTACCGCTACTGAAAATTGACGCGCGTATACATAGTACACATGGGCGTTGTTTTTTTTTTATCTTACTATTCTCAGTTCCTTCTTCGCTGTATTGTATCTACTTACGGGAAAAACTGTTCTCTTATTCTCATATATATACGTATATATGTAGTAGGTATACTTGCATCAGGGTCTGCAGTGTTGCGAAAGAACGTAAAGTTCGAGCGGTAAACGGACGTTAATGGGATTGGGCTACGAGTCGTAAGCGATTTCTTTGTTTCTCGGTTAGTGTATATATCTACTAGTTTTCTTTCATTTGAAGTGTACAATTATACTGTATGCGAGAGTACACAGACTGTGAAAAATCATCAAGTAAAATAAAAGAAATACTACCACCCAATTCCATTCATTGGAGAATTATTCTCAAATTGTACACGAATATCGTCTGACCAATCTGGTCTGTCTTTTAATTTCATCTTTAAATGGAAAACGTGATTTAAAAAATTAAGAAAAATATGGTATTATTCATTAACTAAAAAGTAAAGAACAATTTTTCATACTACGTACGAATATGATGTACATCAATAGAGACCCCCTATTATATCAGACATGAGTAAGAGCGAAAATTATTTTTTACTTAATTCTTCAATACATCGTTGAAAGCGTATTTTTATTAAATTTTTAATTTATTACTTACTTTTCATTTCGATTTGCAATCACGTCTATGATTTAACTAAGTACGCCACTCGTATATTCGTCATGTATGACCAAAAGGTTCATTGTTTACAAAATTAAGTAGAAACAGACGAGTGAGGTAAGACAATCCGAGAAATGGAAGTGATCCAATCTGATGTAAATTTAAAATTTATTCATCATTATCAAGTTGCAAAAACACAATAAGAAAAAGAAATTCGTCTTATAAGTTTAACTTAAACACTCAATTGCCAGACAATAGTGTATGGTAGTAAAAAAAAAAATCACTGATGTTGTATCTCCATGCGCTCATTGAATTAACGAAATAGCTTGTAGAGAAAACGTTAAAGTTTCGAACACGATGATGATTTTATCCTCTAATCTAGTGAAAAATGTAGTATTCACTCTATCATTTTCAAACTTGAAAACAAACTCGATTCCGCCGTAACTCTCGATCTGATGAACATATCCGGCACCACCAGAGCTCAAACTGAACTCCGTTTCATGCGCTTTTGATTGCTCTTCGAGCTCCAACTTTGTCCTCAGCTATACATTACAACCGAAAGGGTTCAACTGAAATTTTCGCTTATTATGTTTGCTGCTCGTCCCGATGTACCCCTTTGTCCGGAGTCCAGGAAGCGCTCGACGTTTACCCTCATCTCGTGACTTTTTTTTTATTGATTTTCACATATACCTATATTATACGTAACATACGTATATCACGGTACTCAAGAGTGTAAAAATAGCATTCGGCTCGTCGTTGCATACACGCGAGGACAATTAAACACCGGCTGCCGGCTCGGGTGGATTCATTACATTTTCATCTCTTCTTTCATCGAGCAGTAACATAAAGAGCCATTTCGAGAATTTCCATTGCGCGTTTCACGTATGTATGCGTGTATATTTACATCAATCGCAGTTCTCCCGTACGATTGCACCGATGACAAAGGAAATATCAAAACAACGTACGCATCTATACATAAATGGTTGCGTTGTTATTGGAAAAAAAAAAAAAAAAAAAAAAAACGTTTTACTCTAAATTACACGCTCGCACACATATATGTATAAATGTAAGAATCATCCGATCAATCAGTCGATATATATAATAAACATGAGCATGTAACTAGGAGGTACAATTTCGACATCGCGCCCAACTTCTCCCTTTCACTCGCTTCAGCGATCGCGCGCGTGTATACATGCGTACACGCGCTACCGATCCCATCCGTGGGTAATCGGCGCGGGCAGAGCCTAACGAGAAAAAGAGAGCACTTAGCCAAATTAAAGCGTATCGCCGAGAGGTCCAATCGAAGCGACGCCCTCTGGGCACCGATACGTGTGGGTGAAGAAGAGCTTCCGGGAAGTAAAACTGGACTAAAGTAGGAAGCGATGAGACCGAAAAAAAAGCAAGCACAAAAAAGTGTGGAGAGGCAGAAAGACGGTGGGCGCCGCCCCGTAGCGAGGAAATCTCTTCTTCTGTCTCTGAGCTCCTTATTTTGCGAAGAAAAAAAAAAACAACAGAGAGAGATGAGGAAGAAAAAGAAGAGCACATGTGTACGGAGCGAGTAAGCGAATCCTCGAAACCGCGCACGCGGAGCGAGCAACCACTTCCGCAGCTCCACCGCCGCGTTTTCCCCCCTTGCGCCCTTTTGAGAATCTCTTTTCGTACCTACTCTGTATAAGTATATATAGGTGAGTGGAAGGAAAAAGCTACACGTGGGATGTGCGTGTGTGTAGGAATCGAAGGTATAAACATATACAAGTACAGACAGGTACAAACGACTCGAGGATATATCATCTGTTTCCGTTGCCGGGCGAGACGAGCATTGGCTGTTATATAAATACAGTGCGTCTCGAAGGAAGCGCGGGTGGAAGGCGTTTGATGTTTCTCGATTTTCTACAAATTCGCTCTCGGGGGTGGTGAAATGAAATTTCAGGGGTAATTTTATCACGCGCTGATGGAATAATTTGCGGTCGAAAGGAAAGCTTTGCGCTGCAGCCGTTTTTTTTTTCTTTCCTCGACCGAGTAGGGATAGAAAAAGGACGTTTAATGGCACGTCAAGGTATTAGATTAGACGTCGACTTGCTGTAGAATATTAGTAGATAACAATCGTTACATCCAAGTGGGAACTTTTTAATCTAAAATTGATGTACTCGTATGCCAGTGCACACTGATAAACATCACAAATTTATCGGGGATACAGGCATGTACGTAATCTATTCGAGCTCGAGCAAAAATATTGTCGATTGATCAATAATTTTCTAATGGACTTGATGCATACTATTAAAATTGTTTACCCCGGTTATTCCGGTACGTGGCGAAATAAACTTCCGTTTTAATCACGAGCTGTTTCACGAGCATGTGTACATATATACATACATACGCCCACTCGCGAAATTTACGACGCGAATAATGCACATGAATAATCAAAGAGCTTGTAATAAAAATAATCGACTCGGCCTTTTTTTCTCACCCCCTCCCCCTACATCCCTCGCTTCGTTTCGTGCCCACTGATATTTTACATTTTATTGAACGCGAATGAATTCTTCCGCAACTTTTATTAAAACTCGATCGAAGGGGGAAAACAGAGCACTTGCATGTATTGTACCTACGTTTTGTATGAAAAAAAGGAGAAAAAAAAATCCAAAGTCGAATAAAAATATGGGGAAATTAGCGAGACGCACCCGAAAACGTTGGGTCGCTAGTCGAGCTGTTTCTCTACCTGTGGCAGTTTGTTTAATTACGAGAAACTTTGAACCACTTGGCTGAAACTTACAACTTAACCTCGTTTCCAACGGCCCTCCCTCTCTCTCTCTCTCTACCTGCTTCTCGTACATTTGCACAAGATGTGTACACACATACTTACGCTCATTTCTATACGTGTGTATATATATATCACTGCAGTGTACTCTGAATTCGCTCCGAGTGAGATATTTAATTAAAATTTCAAGGCGACGACGATAAGGAGTTTTATTACCGAGATGATTATTTTCGAGACTCAAACGACGCCGAGTTTTCAATGAATAAATTTTTTTTATTCGTCCCTCCTCGCTTGATTTCTCGAGGAAAATTTTTTTCAAAACGAGCCCAATTTCCACACGCAGATAATGGCTTTAATATTACACAATATATAAGCTCTCCCACTGTATAACCGCCAACTAGGAGTGTCGGATTAAAACGAGCAAAGGCCCTGCCTGTGCACTTGCAACATCATAATTTCCTGCTTCCCTGCAGAAACAGAAAAAAAAAAAAAAAAAAAAAAAAAAAAAAAAAAAAAAAAAAAAAAAAAAAAAAAAANAAAAAGATCAAATTACCCGCGTCCGCCCTTTACTCCCCGATGAACCCGATACCGTTTCCGCGCGCGACCAAGAGCCGACACGTACAGTCTCCTCCTCGTCCCGCATGTGCGAAAAAAGAAGAAGCCCGCAGAGAGAGAGAGGGCCCACGTGCTGCCAATAATACACGGCCACCCGGGCGCTCTCTCGAAGAGAAAAAAAAAAAGAAAAAAAAAAAGAAAAAGAGCCTGGATATGTCTATACGGGGAAATAAGTAAGTATTCGGAAAGAAAGAAGGACGTATGGCTCACCTGCTGCCGCGGCCGCCTGTCTCTGGTAATAGTCGCACTCGGCGCACACGCCGTCCTCCGCGGCGTCCTCTAGCTCCTGCTGCGCCTGTGCCGCGACGCAAAGGTCCTTGTAACCCTCGGGCGGGCTTAGGGTCTCGCGCTGCTGGTGGCGCCTCGCCGGGGTGACCGGCCTCCTCTCCTCGACCTTACTGTCGACCATCATCATTGGCCGATAAAGCTGCTGCTGGTGCTGGTGGTTATCGCCACCCATGCACTCGTGGTGGTGCATGTGCCGATGCTGCTGGTGGCCATCCCCGTCGCAATCCTCCTCCTCCTCCAACTCCTCCTCCTCGAGCTCGTCCTCCTCGTCCTCCTCGTCCTCTTCCTCCTCCTCGTCCTCGTCCTCGTCCTCTTCCTCCTCCTCGTCCCGAGGGTTGACGACCCCACCACCCGCGCTGCTATTGTCACCACCACCACCACCACCACCACCACCACCGTCCTCGAAGCGCAAATTGAGCTCGGCCCGGCACTCCTTGCAATTCCCGAGCCTAATCATCTCGTGCTCCTGGCAGCAGCAGTCGCACTCCTCCTCGTAATCCGGGCAGCACTCCTCCTTTATGAGGATGATGTAGTCGGCGGCGAAGAACTCGTTCATCTTCTCGTTAATGACGACCCGGTTCTTCGGGGTGCCCTTCGCCCTCGTCTGCCCGGGCTTTTTCAGCAAGCTTTTGAGCGCCCGGACACCACCCGGCACCACCATCTCCGGGCCCTGCTCCGCACCCTTGTTCGTCTCCTTGTGCTCCTTCATCCTCCACTTCTTATCTCGGTCTCTCGTCTTTCCCCTCGTTATCCCCTGTTTTCTTCCTCCTTGCCGCTGAGCTCGCGGTTACGAGTGTTTCACCCTGGTCCGGTCAATTGTCACGCCGGTGCTGCATCTTCGTCTCCGTTTGCCCGCACCGATGCCGTACGTGGCTTGTACGACGCGCAACTTGCGTACGATACATTTGCGCGCGCGCCCTGCGAGCGACAGCTTCCGCTCAATGGTACGGCCACGGTCGCGAGGAAAAAAAAAAATATATCACTAGCGGCACTGTCTTTTGGTCAACGATGATTACGAGTACCAACCGCGCGAACCATCACCACGGAGGGTACGGGCCGTATACAACAAAGGGGGGCGATTTGACAGCTCGATCGAGCCGCGCGTGTGTTTGGGGGTGGATGGGATGCTGGGCCTAGGTTACGGTGCCGTACGGAAGCATCGTTACCCCCGTCGCTGCTCCACTGTTACTGAGACGACAACGGCTCTTCTTCTTCTTCTGGTGAGAGGAGGGATGCTGCGTACGGAGAAGGGGGTGGTAGTGGGTATATGGCAACTGATGGTCCTCGGAAAAAAAAAAAAAAAACGGGGCGGCGGGGGAGGGAGGACGAGTCGATTCTCTCCTCCGGCTGGATGCCCGCTACGGGTTTTACTGATCCCCGTTCGCTTTCATCGCTGCCTCCCTGCAACCACCACCAATGGTCCTTCTTATTCTCCTACTACAACTACTACCCTCTCGATGGTACAAAGTCTCTCATCCTCGTTCCTGTAGTGGGTGCTGTGTGCTACACCCACCACCACCACCACCACTCGGCTGTTGATCCGTCTTCTCCTCCCGCGAGGGAGTGTGCGCGCGTGTCGTTATTTATGTATGTATCGGTGTGTCTGTCTCTCGGCGCTGCTTCGCCCCCTCGCAACCACTTTCTGCCGCTTATCGATCAGAGAGGGAGAAAGAGAGACGCGCACGCACGCACTTGTCCCCTATACAATACAAATACAAATGTGCGTATAGGGATACATATAACGTTATATCATATCCCCTCTCGTCTATCTATATATTATATGGGGTCGCGCGAGTGCGCGTCCTTGCTGTATCCGTGCGCGACCCTTGCGCTTGAACCCTCCTCACCCCCCCCCCGCTACCCTTTTCACACGTACGTGCGTGTATAAGCGCGAGATATGGATGGTGGACGCACACCTGTACACGTTATGGGTGTGTTGTGGCCGTCCGAGCGAGTTCGCCAAGAGCGTAAGTATGTGTATATTACACCAGTGGCTGGGAGCTTTTGCAAAAAGCGCCCTAGCGATGCTTCCTTCTTTTTCTCTCGCCGGATGGTAATTAATGGCCCTTTTGTCCCAAGCACGCGTATCGACCTTGGACTATATTTGCCGACCCTTCCGTCGTTGTTATTTGTTTTTCCTCTATGCGTTCTATGTCGCTCTGTATATATATACGCGTGATTTCGGGTCGTACGGCGCGGTGGGTTCAACCAACCCCCCTATATGTGTATATGTACATATATATATATATGTCCGTGTACAACCTGCAACGAAATGCATACACGCGCGCTGTTGTTATCATAGCGCGGGGGAGCTTTTCCCTCCTCCGACGCTTCTCTCTTCCCGACCACCCCACCGCGAAAACCGACGGGGCGAAAGGTCGTTCGCTCCCACCCCCTACCCCTGGGGCTGTCGACACTATACGTATACTGTGGTATATTGCTATTCACGCACCGCACTTTCTCGTCTGCTACAGCAGACGACGCGTACAACTGTATATATATGACTGCACTGACATAAACTTTGCACTTGCACGTATACTTATACTTTGGTGCAAGAGAGTTTCGTGTTTCTTTTGAAACGATACTTTGCCCTCTTGCTCCTCTGTGCACTGTTTTTACTAACTGCTCGCACGTTTAATTTTTTTTTTTTTTTTTTTTATTTATTGGGCAGGAGAAAATCTTCATAGACACCCCAGCTAATCCAGTGGTAGTGTCGGATTCACC